CACACACACACACACACACACACACACACACACACACACACACACACACACACACACACACACACACACACACACACACACACACACACACCAGACAACAGACAACTGTGTCACGCAGCAGCCGTTCCAGCCGAGCAGCCGTTCTGCAGCAGGTGTGCCCCGGGTGTCATTCACAAAGTACTTATAAATGTAGGTATTGTAATGTTTTTTTATAGGTGAGTATCACAACACCTTTCTAGTATCGGTATACTAAAACCAGAATTGTGGTGTGTATGACTAATAGACCATTGTGACATTACTGTGTATGCAAATAAGAATAATATATTCATGATGAAGAGAAAACAAAAACAGGTACCTTCTACCCAGAGTTTTGTGTTATGAGCTCACTGGTCTGTTGTGTTTTTTTTTTTTTACATGTCTGGACTCGAAAGGTGAAGAGTAAACCCCTCCCCAGACTAATCTATGCTGCACAAAGCAAAACATTCTCACACACATGTGAAGTGGGCAAAGAAAACCTGCCTGACTTCTCCTGACTTGACTTGCAAGTTCAGCTTATGGTGTCATAAAGGAGCTCCTCTTAGAAAAGACCCAAAAAAGAGAGTAAACTTTACAAGACGAGCTGCAGCCGTAACACAAACAATGAACTACAAATGCTCATTATGTACATGACATTCTTATGGGGGTTTTTCCATTACAAAATACATAAATTCTCCAAGACTTCAAATGAAAATCTGATTTCACTGAACGTGTTGAGTCCATTTAAGTGGACCCAACTGGCAACATCAGTTATTCTTGCAGACGATGCCAAACACAGATAACAATAACCAGCAGGCTCTGTGATTCATTCAGTCAGAATTTTTCATCAAAACACTGTGTAATGAGTTTTGAACACCTGTGGGAAATGGCAAAAAGGGAAGCATGTAAGCCTAAAACTGAGTCATCTAATGATCCTTAATAAGCTGAGAGAGCGTCATTGCAGAGGTTTTCTGTTAATGTGCAGCGGGGGAGGACGTTAGCCTCTATGGGGCAACCCTCCCATACACAGAGAGGCAGGGTAAGATAGGAAAAACAGAGTGGTCACTTGTAATTCCTCTTCCAAACCACATGTCTGCAGAAAAACAATGAGAATTTAACAGGGGCTTGGGGCGATACTGAAAAATCCCAAAGCATAATGAGGGTCTGAAGTGTCATGTGAAAGCTGTCAGTGAAAATGACAAAAGCATGCTCAGAAACAGATGTGAAAAAGTGCTGCTTATGTCAACCAGTCTACTATCTGGGCTTGGTCAAGTACACACCGAGCCAAGAATTCAAGGACCACTACACCCCAACCCCCCTTTCTGAGCGTGGTGCAACCCACGCTTGGCCGGAGGACAAGACAGCCAGCTACTGAATAGCTGATGTCACCGCTGGACAGCTGACAAAGGGAACCCTCCCTGAGATTAACCCCATCTGTGTCTAATGGGAAACATGTTAACAAAATGCTCTAAACAATTACATCATGACTTGGAGAACTGGACTTCAAACTGACAAAAAAAAAAACATGGTTGTCATGCAAGATGTAAAATGATGACTAAAAGGAAAACTGACTGAACTTGTATTCAGGGAGTAAACTGCTGATCTTGGGGTAGGTTTCTCTATAAGATGAGAATGAGATCATGAGAATGATATCATACAGTATGTGACAGAGGGACCTGAATGGTGACCCTGTGTCTGAGCTGCTGCTCATAGACAGAACCTGAGAGCGAGTTGGTCCATTTCTAGACTCAGCTGAGTGGCAGAGAATATCCAGAGCCCCCTTAAATTTCTCCTGGAACAAAAACACATTCTGGCTGCTTGCAGAGGTTGAGCAAGTCCTTCCAACTAATTCAGCGGAAACATGTACTGTCACTCGCAGATTCAGGAGCTCAACATACTTGAAGACGTTGCCTCATGCTACACTCAGTCCCTCTCCATCATTTTGCGACTGCCAGCAACATTCCTCTGGCGTCGCATCACTTATAAAGAAAGCCCTCATTCATCAGATACAGGGTCGCAGAGTCAGGCTAAATTTGTTCCCACTTAAGATAACCATTTACCAAGACAACCTCCCTTCCCTCCCCCAACACACACACCCCTCCTCATCTACTTCCTAATGTCAATTGTATCAGGAGACATGATGGTAACAGGCAGACAAATGCAATTCCTACTCTTCCTGAGTTCACCCGAACACTCGCCTCCAACAAAAAAACCTCCATAAGGCAACTAGTGTAACAAAACCATGCTGAACGCACATCACTCTTGTGGTAGACCCTCTACAAATTCCATTGTTGGCGACAAACACACAGGAGCAGGCTTTCAACAGCCTCGAAGGGGAACAATCGGCAGCTCATTGTAACTGTCGCTGGAATGTGGAATGCAACAATGTCAGCCTCTGGAGAGTGAGTCATCTCCAAACCATCAGTGTGCTCTGTGTGTGTTTATATAGGTGTTGCTCTAACACAACACTGTCAGAATTATTTACTCAGTGATACTTTGCAGTAATGATGAAACAGTAGCTGGGTATGAAGTTGTTAAAGATATGAAAATACTCAATTTAGAAGTTGATATTGTTTTGTGAAATTATACCTGAGGTGGGGGAAAAAAACATGATGCCGATGATGAATGGGTCTTAAAAATGTAAAACGTTAGGGCTGCTAGCAAGAAAGTCATCAAATGGAAATGGCAAACCCTGAAAACCCAAGACTTGACTGTAAGTCACTCTGTTCAGAGTCAGTCCTTATCCTCAGATCACAACACGAACAATACCTGAAATACTGGATTAGTTGACCATGTACTGCAAACGCATTACATTTCACTTAAAGACACTGTTCCTCTAAAGCATTTGAAACACACTCATTTGGCTAAAAAATAAGTATTTTTGTTTTTTTCAACTTTGCATTATATTTGAATCTGCTGATTATTTTCTCAATAACTCCATTAGTTGGTATATAAAAACTGTGAAGCTGAAAGCATTACATGTTTTTTAAATGTATTTTTGCTTGACAAATGACTTAAACAATGAGTCCAATACCACAATTGCAGCATTTTCCAAACAAATAATCTTTTCTAATATGTAACTAATCTCACAACATAAGCACATGGTTCACACAGCAGTGTATTGGTGTAGAATTGATTTATGTTTACTGCCTTGACTAATTGGTTAATGTTTAGTAAATCCTCTGGTGGTGTTTCAGTGTGGTTTTTCTGCTGTTACCTAGCAGTTCTTCAGGATCTTTGACCACAATGTGGGCGTTAAGCTCTTGTAGCTCCTGGTGAAGCTCCTCAACCTTCTTATTAGATTTTTTCAGCATATTATCCACATAGGCCAGACTCTTCTTGTCTGTGGTGACCTGAGGAGAGTGGAAGAGATCGAAAAGAATTAAGACAATTTTCTCAAATAATAAGGAAATTACAGAAGTCTTTAATTATAACAGCCAGTTTGTTAGTCACAGCCAGGGTCACAAGGCAAGAGAAAACAGTGGTTTTCTCAGGTTTTGTATTTGTGGAGTAACCCTACGTTGATTTGATTTTGACAAGAGTATCTGAGAGCATTTCTGAAGCTTGACCTGCTCTACCTACCATTTTCAGCTGACATAGCCTCTATTGTCATAGAAATGCAATACTAAATCACTGGAATACCCCTTTGACATAAAGCCTGTCCACTATCAAACTAAATCTGTGGTTTTACCTTGCGCAGGTTCTCTGCACCCTCCTTGATCTTCAGCTCCTTGCGGATCTCACGGCGGATCTGCTCCTTGATCTCTTCCAGTTTTTGTTGGACCATGGTGTCGGATAGGTCCAGGTTATGTCCCAGACCCAGTCGCTCCGCCACCAGCTGGCCCCTGGCATCCCCCTGGAGGACAGGGGTGAAGGACGAGGAGGATAAAGAGGAGATAAGAGGAGGGATGTGGAATATGATTTAGAGGTCAATGAGGGAAGAAAAGAAGGAAGAGAAAGGGAAAATGGGATGAAAAAGAGGAGGAGGAGAGGACATAGGGAGGTCAGTGTATACGTCTACTTTGAACACTGGCATTTTCTGTGTTGCATTGAACCAACAGACCACATCAATATAGATTGTTGAGGACTAAAATCTATGCACTCACTTGCAATACTTCAGCAACATGCATTTCCACTGGTAATAAAATGATAAGAGAGGAAGAGCTACAGACATAGTTTCACCTCAGCTGCCACTGAGTTTCTTATAATAACCAGAGAATTTAATTCAGAACCTGTTTGACCCAATTCTGATTTGAGGCGATTCATAACATTCTTCTAGTTCCACTCATTTTCAATTAACATACATCTAACTAATGAGGACTGGGGATTTAAAACTGGATGTTCAACCGGTACGGTCAACCCAGTGTAATGGTGTGGTGTGAACTTCAGCTAGCTTCTGTATGCTATGTTTTCACTGCTGCCGTCAGTCACTATTAACCTGCATCCTCAAAGCTGTCACCTTGTCTAAAGCGGGATTAAAGGTCACTTCCTGAATGGCTTCGGCTTTAAAGGCCGTGATGAATTTAGTGGTGCACTGGTGAGGCTCCACTTACTGATCATAGAATATTTCTATGACTATCTGAGGATTGTAAATTATCAGTTTATTCCATTTCATTACAAAGTTCATCAATCTAAGTTGTTTGGATTGAAAATATCTTCCAACTTTTAATTTAAAGTTGGCAACATGAGGTGTTAATTTAGTTACATGTCACAACTATGAAATAACCAACAGTTAACTTTTAACCTATGAGTCATCATAGCTTTAACAAGACAAATTACAAACCATAATATGAACCCTGCCCTCACTCTGGATATTAGAAACGCTACATTAGTTAAGCATACATATTGTTCCAGATAACATCAACAACTCAATGCATGTAATGTAAAAGTTAAAGCAGAACTCATTCCAGAGTCTGAAGTTTCTGAAATTGTGTCAAACTTGCTGCAAGTGCGAGAAAATGTACTTAATCCATTCATAAAATGAACAGCATCATCACATCGCATTAAACTCATCATGATTCTGATACCAAGAAAGAAAAACACATTCTCATCCAAATATATATATTTAGGCTTAATGCTATTTGCTCCCATTTAATATTAAATCACAGCTTCCCAAGGAGAAAAAGATAGGACTGATTTAGGGCGTGGTGATAAAATGATAATTATAGCGATATAACTTTTCCTCGATGGGATTTAAGACATGTCATCGTAACATGGATAGAACTCATCCCGTCCATGTATGACGGACAACACCAACGGCCAATGAGAATAAGAATAGCGCTGTGCCGAACTCCAAAAAAGAATGTGGCTTGAAAAGAGTTACACCCACATAAAGTAAGGATGACGCACAAAGCACAGAGTGTGGTAGCAGCAGCAGCACATATGCGAATGTCTTAACATTATCATGTTTTCAGTTACGTTCATTGTTTTAGCCGTTTTCCACCGCTGCTAACCAGCACTGCTCAAGGATCAGACAGACGCACATTAAAGGTCCGGTCGTCCTGTGTCAGAGTGTCTGTCTGAGCTTCCTCCTCACTCTTTCTCTGACCTTCTCTCACTTTACACTTTAACAATAAACACCATCACTGATCACAAGTTATTAGGACACAGTAGGTTTACTTTGTGTTTACTTGATTTCCTCTAGAATTTATGAGACATATTTAAACTTGCTACACAACATAAGACGTTACGCACAAAGTCAGGACATCAGGGTTAAAGTAACCGGAACGAACAGGAGTCATGATCCGACATCATCGATTAATAAGTAAATACCACGAGGGAGAGAGACGAGCAGGGACACGCACACACACACTCCTGCAGACAGATGTTCTTCCCGCAGATTACGACGCACGCTGTGTTTGAACTTCTTTGTTGCAGAAGAAGTGACGCCCCAAGAACATAAATATGAAGTCATCAGGTTTATATAAAGATCAGTTCTAAGAGGGAGTGATTAGAAAACAACAGAGGAGCAGTCTGTCGTTGACCAGCGGAGTAATGCACCTCAGTGCAGTAGCTCTGATTTAAGATAAGATTAGATCAATTAAAAGTTTATTAATCCAGACACTGGGATTCAGTAGTTACAGCAGCAGGCACGTCAGAATGAGGTAGACACAAGAATAAAAAAATAGAAAAATGTAAATTAAAAAAAGAGCATTGAGCAAGTACAATATATACACCTGTTCACTGTAGTGGTTTGTATGAAATGCTATAAGTAAAGTGCAGTGGCACAGGATGATTGTGCGAGCTACTACAAGTGTGCAAAAAAAATGATGATTTGATTTATATCACAAAATATATCGATATCGACTGATATGAAAACCCATATTGTGATAGGATTTTTTTTCCAAATCGTCCAGCTCTAGACTGAAAAAACTCGAGGCTTTATTAATCCTTCTGCCTTACCATCACTTCATCTGTATCAGTCAACTCCATCTCTAGATCAGTTGCACAATCCAGTCCATGCATGTTCTGCTGACCAGCTACACCATCAGCGCACAAACTCCACCGACGTTCTGTTGCCATGTTGGAGCAGTAATATCCTCGGTCACAGAGGTTAAGTTACACCGTAACAGATAAAGGCTCTGCTGAGAGCCACGCTCATTCACTCCGCTAGGACGCAATTTTCTCTAACTCACTCATTTTACGCTCTCTTTCTCACACAACCCATTGACATCAACAGGGAAGATAAACTGTCTGAGCAGTGACAGCCAAATCCCTCTTAGCGTCTCACTCTGTGAGGTCAGAGCCGCCCAGAATGGGACCTAATCTCACTCCAGGGAGAGGACTGTGTCTAAAATTAACTCCGGTTAAAAACATAATGCTGGCTGTCCATTGTGGCCACAACCCCCCTGGAAAGCAACTTGTGTGTTGGAGAAGAGGCTCTGCACTGACAACCCAACAACTACAAGAAGGTACCAACTAGTACAGAAGAGAGTTCAGGTCTTGAACTTAAGAACACAAGATGGGGGGTAATTGTCGTTCTGGCAATAAGCCGGCAGTGGAGATAGTTTCAGAGGCTGACCGACGTGTGTGTGTATGTGTGTATGTGTGTGTGTGTGTGTGTGTGTGTGTGTGTGTGT